GCTGCACAGGATCTTGTCCAGGTGGGTCTTGAATATCTCCAGAGAAGGAGACTCCACAACCTCCCTGGGCAGCCTGTTCCAGTGCTCCGTCACCCTCAGAGGGAAGAAGTTCCTCCTCATGTTCAGACGGAACTTCCTGTGCCTCAGTTTGTGCCCATTGCCCCTTGTCCTGTCACTGGGCACCACTGAAAAGAGCTTGGCCCCATCCTCCTGACACCCACCCTTCAGATATTTATAAGCATTTATTAGGTCCCCTCGCAGCCTTCTCTTCTTCAGGCTGAACAAGCCCAGCTCCCTCAGCCTCTCCTCGTATGGGAGATGTTCCAGTCCCCTCATCATCCTTGTAGCCCTCCGCTGGACTCTCTCCAGTAGCTCTTCATCTTTCTTGAACTGGGGAGCCCAGAACTGGACAGAGTACTCCAGATGGGGCCTCACTAGGGCAGTGTAGAGGGGAAGGAGAACCTCCCTCGTCCTGCTGGCCACACTCTTCTTGATGCATCCCAGGATCCCGTTGGCTTTCTTGGCAGCCAGGGCACACTGCTGGCTCATGGTTAACCTGTCGTCCACCAGGACACCCAGGTCCCTCTCTGCTCTCCAGCAGGTCCACCCCAAGCCTGTACTGGTGCATGGGGTTGTTCCTCCCCAGGTGCAGGACCCTGCATTTGGCTTTGTTGAACCTCATCAGGTTCCTCTCTGCCCAGCTTTCCAGCCTATCCAGGTCACGCTGAATGGCAGCACAGCCTTCTGGTGTATCTACCACACCTCCCAGTTTGGTGTCATCAGCAAACTGGCTGAGGGTACATTCTAACTCTTCATCCAGGTCGTTGATGAAGAAGTTGAACAAGACTGGGCCCAGTACTGACCCCTGAGGGACACCACTGGTTACCGGCCTCCAGCCAGACTCAGTGCCACTGGTGACAGCCCTCTGAGCTCTGCCATTCAGCCAGTTCTCAATCCACCTCACTGACCACTCATCCAGCCCACTCTTCCTGAGCTTGTCAAGGGAGCTCAGCCAGTTCTAGGGGAAGACCTGTTGCCGTTGTACAGGTTTGTCCTTGTGCAGAAGCGTAGATAGATACAGGCTTGCTTGGCCCAGATTTGGAGCTGCCTGGACTCAAGTCAGCTTGTGTCTGTTTGCACCTGTCTGTATCATCGTATCTTATGCTTCCTGTTAACTTTGTGTGTCTCCCTTAAAGAAATATAAAGCTAGCACTCAGCAACTGGCTGCGCTAGTAACTGAAATCTCAAGTACTGGATTTTTGTCAAAGAATTGGACTTTGACAAAGTTATTGACTGCTTTGGCTAGTTGCGTTATGGGGTGTTTTGCTCTCCCGTCCCAAACAGAACCATTAAAACACTTGGAAGGAAAATGGAACAAAGAAGCGTTAGCTGGGGAGTTGAGTTGAACGAGGTTTGCATCCAGAGCTCGCGGTAATGACTCTTCCGGGTTCAGCTTCCAGCAAAGAGCGCTGCTTTTTCTGTTCAGCCCTTTCCAAACGTGCCAGGGCTGGCAAGATTGCCGTTCTTTCTCTTCTCTTCACCCCCCCAGGGGTTTAACAGTCTCTTGTGAAATCCAGACCTTTGGTTTTACAGTTCATATCCACCACCTTTTGATGGAAAGGGAAATGCCAGCCCCTGTTGTGCCTTTGGGAAGCAGATCCTCTAGAAAGGAGAGAGGGATGGAGCTGGGATGCTGAGGAACTGGGTAGGGAGGAGGTGCTGCTGTCTGTGCTAAAAACCTGCCAGTCTGTTGTGCTGAACTTGCTGTCTGGTTGTTGTCCAGTTTCTCCCCTCTCTTCCCCTCCCCTCCCTTCCCCACACTTTCCGTGCGCAGGCCTAATCATTTGAAGGCTAAATAACTTGCAAATCTCCCAGGCTAATGTAAATTGTTGTTATTCTTTGAAATATAGGGGCTTTTTTCCTCTCTCCCTGCCTTTTTTTTTTTTTAAACAAGGACCAGGTTTTAAGAGACGTTAAATCCTAACATTAGGATTAGGCTGTACTTTATATTTCTCCATGATTTGATCATTTTCACAATAGCTGCAATAGCAAGGAATCGGTGTCAAAAAGCAAAACTGATTTGGGGAGTAGCCCTGAGGGAAACTGAGCAATTAAAGCATCTGTGGAGTTAAGCACGAGGCACGTTACCAGGCATCAACTGGGACTCGTTCGAGTGCCTGCTCTCAGCCTACAGCAAAGGGGAGCTGCTGAGGTTGAAGCTCGTGCCTTTCTACCTCGCGCTTCCTAAAGCTTGAAAGGACGCACGTGGACTTGTGTGTTGGAAGATGTGTGTGTACGTTGTAGGAAAATTCATCTTGCAGCACTGGCTTAGGTCAGAGCTTGCGTAATGTGAGCTACTGTGATTTAGCGAGTCTGCCTGTGAGCTGGGCATCAGTATCTCTCTGTGTGCCCGTAGCTGCCGCAAACACAGGATTTTTAAGCTTAGCTGAGATCTCAGTTAAAAGAAAGTTAATCTAAGCCATGTTATCTTACAGTTGGAGGGGGTTACTGACAATTCCTGACAGGGGTGACAGCGCGGTAACTATTTAAAGCTCAGGAAGTGGCTGGTGGTCTGTTAGAGCTGTCTGCTGACAAGCTGGTAGCCTCCTGAGGGAGGTTGGCTTGGGTTTACAGTCCCTGATCGAGCGTCCGCTAGCGCTGCGGAGCAGGATTTCAGACCGCATTCCTCTTCCTGGTCTCTGGTTACGTAGAAAACCTTATTTAATTTGATATATTAATACAAGTGAAAGCCAATTTCCCAGAACAAGGGAAGTAGGACATCTGTTTAAAAGAATACAGTTGCTAAAGAAAAATGGCTTACTAGAAGAATACCAGAGCACTGCTGGGAAAGCTGATACAACAACATTTACTAGTATCTAACGATGGCTTTCATCAGCGGAGCTGACTCCAGTTTAATTTCCGTGGGCATTGTTTCATATCCCTGAGCTCTCCGTCACCAGATGCTGACAGCAGTGAGCTGGCAATCGCGTTCACTCGTAGTCCTTGGTTGCAGTCGTGGGTTTGGTTTTATTTTTTTTAAGGGATTTCTTTGTAGTTGTCGCGCTTGCCCACCTTGTACGGAAAGAAGCTGCCCCCAAGGTTTTGCGCTCCTTCTCTCATCTCTGAGAAGTGCTACGTTTGCTTCACAGAATCACAGAATAGTAGGGGTTGGAAGGGACCTCTCTGGGTCATCTAGTCCAACCCTCCTGCT